GTATGAAAGGGTCGCAGCATGAGGAAGGTTGAGACTCACTGATATAAGGTATAAGCAGAGCATTCACCGAGAACAGGTCGGAGCTAAACATTCTGATTCCCCAAAGAAGGGGATTTGAGCCAAACCTTGAACAGTAAGTATAGTTTTGCAGTTACAGAAAATCAGGACTTTGAGGGGCAGAGGCTCCCACAGCATAATCAAGAGCTCCAGGCATGAACTTGCATGGTTGTGTGGGGAACGGTTCGTTGTTCTGTGTGTGGGGGGAACGGTTCGTTGTTCTGTGCATTGGGGGCATGTGTGCATGGGTGAGTGAGCAGAGGAAGACAAGGGGCCACCGTGAAATGCCTCGAAGGCCACATTGAGCTCCTGGGACAGTGAGGACCATGGAGAACAGGGAAGTGGCATGATCAGTTGGAGATAGAGGAGAGTAATTAAGGCGGATGATGGGTTTCCTCTGCTGGGGGTCCCTGGCACCCTCCTCTGGCTTTGGGCAGTGCTGTGTACAGCCCTACTCTGAGCTAGTGGTCTATGCTGGGTTGGAAAGTGGGACTGTCCCTCAGAGCTGGGGGACTGAAGCTGCCCACCAGCTTCGGTCCTTGAAAGAGGAAATAGGCACAGAGATACAAAAGCAGTGTTTGCTGCCTCAGTTCACAGGAAGACCGCATGTTCTAAGAGTTAGGGGTTAGATAGACCTGGTTTCAGGTCTGCCACTATGTGGGCTTGGAAAAAATCAGCTAATCCTTTAGAACCCCTTCAAACAAACAAATAAACAAGGAGCCCTGGTGTCCATTGAGCTGCTATCCACACCATCAGCAGTTCAAAACATCAGCAGCGCAGAAGGAAAAAAGATGAGGCTTCCTACTCCTGTAAAGAGTTACAGTCTCAGAAACCCTCAGGGGAGGGCTCTAGCCTGTCCTGTGAGGTCTCTATGAGTTGGAATTGACTCAATGACTGTGAGTTGGAAGACAAAAATAGCAATACTTTCCTCACGGGTTGTTATGAGGAATAACTTTAAGTCTTTAAAGTGCCTTCCAGAGGGGCTCTGGAGGCCTGGTGGTTCTCTGGGCCAGGAGTTGGGCTGCTAACTACAGGGTCAGCATCTCAAACCCACCAGCTGTTCTGAGGGCGAGAGAAGAGGCTGTCTGTGCCCATAAAGATTTGTAGTCTCTGAACCCCTCCACAGAGTTGCAAAGAGTTGGAATTGACTCGATGGCAGTGGGCCTTGGGTGGGAGCAAAGGGGCTGGCGTAGTACAAGCATTTGGTCGATGGGATCTGTGATTACTTTTTTCACTTATTTTGGATGTTGACTCTGCTTTGGAAAAGCTGCCCATCTCCAAGAGCTTTAAAAAAAAAA